GTTATTGATTATTTTCTAGAATAAGCCTGCCAATTGTAAAGCTGTAAAGCTGAATTGTAAGCTGTATCCCGTCGCATGTTGTCTTCTTCTTCTTCCTTGTGATGGTTGGCAATGGTCAATGCCAACGTGCTGGCGAGGACGGCACTCTTGAAATACCGTGGCCGTGATGTCATGTGCTTGGCCAATTCGGCGAGTTGCAGCATGCATCTCGTTAGGTTGAGCAGAATTCGCTCCTGGAGGTGTTCCTCGTCATCATTGTAGAGAATACAGAGATAAATGTCGGCCTCGGATATTTTCAAATCTTGTCCATCTGCTAGGGAAATTTCAATGCCATCATCGTCGTCGTCATCATCCAAGCAATCCACATCGGCAATCTTGGCATGTCCTCCTGCTTTCATCACAATGGCGGATCCCACTTGTAAGATGCTACTCAGTCGCAAGGCAGCTTCGTAGTAGCTGCAAGCAGCCGAAGCATCCCCCAGTCGCAACAGTTGATCGCCTCTTTCTTTCCACACAGCCACATCGTCAGAGTGCTTTTCTGTTGTGAGTTCAAAATCCAACAGTGCCTGCAGCTCGGATAGTTCCACCGTGGTTTCTGTCTCGTCAGCCTCTTTTCCGTCCATCACAGGAGCCACGAGAAAAGGTCGCTTCAGCCGTCGCTTGGGGTTTCCAACAGTACATGTAGAAGCATTGAACGAGATTGGCTCAGGAGCCAAAGATTCCCAAATGACACACGCCGTTTGGTCATCGCCTTGCAGTGTAGCGATCGTTGCTCTTCCGGTGGATTTGGGAACCTCGGGACGGGGTAGACGCACCGTAGCACCCACTTGAAAGCTGGGAGTGGTGCTCATGGTGGTTGATTGGTGATCAAGTGCTTGAGCGTTTCGGCGCCTCCGCCTCTTCTCGTGTTTTGTTCAAAGCAGTAGAATGCAATTTGTTTTACTAGCTACGGTAGCTAACGGTTAGGTAGCTTAGCATTTGCTACCGAAACAACAATATTTTTATTGTTATTCCCAAGCTTGCAGGTGCAAATTTGAGTGCGGACCTGGAAGGTGGACAAAACTTTGAAAGTTGGCTGCGGATGTCAGAAAGTCTTTCAAAGGCACCAAGAAGGACGCAACAAGTTGAAACAGGAGACTGATGACTCTTTCCAGGGAGATCGTGGGAAACTGCATAATCGGTAACGAGCAGAGCACCCGAGGAGGTGCATGCCCAGTTGGCTGACTGTCACTCCTTTGCTTCAGGGAGTCTTTAGTATTCTCCTCCAGGCCTCCTCCATCAAGTTTGCTTGTACCACTATCCGGAGGCAGGCAACATCTGATCGGAGAAGGGGAAAGAGAGCGCGTTCTTGTACGACCGCCACCGGGCAAAAGGTTCAGATTGCATGGAGCTGCACTAGTTAGTGAGAAGTGAGCACTGAGTTTGCTTGGCGGATAAAAGAGAGCACACGGCAATGAAACGAGGGCTCTTGCCCAGATTGAACGAGAGATCGAGCGGATGTGAAAGCAAGGTCCAATAAGGCTTTGTGCGTGTTCTAGAAGGATTGAAAGGCAGCATGACCTAAGCTGGACAGCAAAGGCGGTGGAACGGTTCAGGTCGATCGTTAGAAACGCGGATGCATGCTGGTCATCCATCCGCGTTTCTAACGACTCGAAGATGATCGAATTGTCGACAGTGTTGCTTCGGGTATCACTAGCAGACCTGTCCGAAAATGAGATGGCATTTGTAGCTAGAGCACAATACTTCGGCTTTTGTTGGGGAAAGTTCACAAGGGTACCGTGCCCGCATAAAGCGGCACGCCTCCAGACGCTGCTACCTCCCATCATTACGTGGAACACTCTGCTTTCGTGAGGGTATTCCTCTAGATTACATGCATAAGCTATCACCATGGAATGCGACGAGTAGATTGTTTGATTCATTTTCTTTCATGAAGAACCCACTAATTCCACCGAGTGGTGTGCACTGGAAGCGATCTGACATACCGCTATGTGCTCAAATAATAAATTCGGGGTCAAGCTTCAGCCGCCCTCCCAACCATTTTGCGAATTGTTGATTGACTTGGCTATCCCACCACAGCACACAGGAAGAACTGTCTATGAAATGATGCAATTACTCCCCGAATTCGTAAACGTAGCTTCATCTAGCGGCACGCCCTTTTGAGACCTCCAGAGTTCAATGACCTCGACAACCTTTTCCACAAACCCACCAGCTGCCACGACATTATCGGTAGCCGTGTCGGTGATGAATCGACCTTTCCTATCCAGAACTACCAGTGATGGGATATTGGCAATATGGCACTTTTTGGACACCGATGTCTTGTGTTTCTGGCTTTCCAGGGCCAACCAAGGCATATCTCGGTAGGTCTTTTGAAACTCGACCAAATCTCGATCAGAACTAATGTACACAATCTCAATATCCACTTTCTTGAGCTTTTCCTGGTTGGCCTTGTCCTTACAAATCGCATAAAAGTCCTTCAGCAGGGGAGTGAATCTCTGACAGGAAGGACACCAAGCACCTTGAATGAAAGAATTGATAGATAAACATATGACAAGAAACAAAAAGTGCCATGAGGCGAATCGAATCGAATAACCAAATCAAAGACACCCTTCTACTCGCTTGCTAGGCCCGTCAAAAGGCGGATCCTAGCTAGCAGGGTTGCATACACCACTTCGTACCTGAAAAATAGAGCACGATGAAATCCTTCCCCTTCAAAGCCTCATCCGTCTGGACGGAGGGACCATGATGAAAGAACGAGTTCTTGAAGTTTCGAAAGTTGGGAGTCTCTATGTATTCCCCAATTTTCGACAAGAGCATCGGACCCAACAATGCTTCAAAGGTACTTGGCTTCTTCTTCGGCATCTTGTTTTCTTGTTTTGCTCTATCTATCGTTGTGTCTGTTCTTCTCTCTATTCTGAGACGAGCTTGTCTACTCGCCGCCCACCTCATTCATGTATATGTCATCCATGTCCATGTCCAGGTGGGTTGGGGCACGTTTAAGTTCCATTAGAGTGAAATGCACTATAAGACCCACTACAGATTAAGACCATCGTATTTAATAGAGGTGCGTACGTAGGATCCTACGTAGCTTCAGTACCAGAGCAATATAGGTGCTTCCTACATGTTCCGTAGGATCTTACAGGACTCGTCTACGTAGGATCCTACACAGTTAAGTACTATAAAGTCTTAAACTGCAGAGAAAAAGAATTCGTTTCAAAAGTGAGGATATTTTCAACTGACCATAACTCCCCCAATAAGTACACACTGATGTTGCGAATTTAATGGCTTACTCAACAACATGTGCTCTTTCGATTCAGCTACTTAGAAGTACAATATTCGATATCCAGCTCTGAAGAGAATAAACCGCAGAATGGTCGGTCTTATAGTGCATTTCACTCTACTCTACAAAGTTCCTCTTTTTCAGGGCTGCCCCCCCCCTGAGTCACTAGTTCTCATGACTGACAAGTGAATGTGCTTTGTGGCAGTTTGAGACAGTGCTGCCAATTAGGATCCAGTATTCAGATTGTTCATTTTTACATCTATGAAGTTTCTTCATCTATCTTTCATGACAGGCATCTTAGAGAGCTCGAAACTAGCCACATAGCATGTTCTACTGGTCGAAGACAATATACAGACACCATACATAGGAGCAAAGCCCCAACACCGCGTATCTCATTTTACACCCAACAACTAGAGAAGTCAACAGAAACCACCCCAGATAGGCTCCGATACCACGAACGGGCTGATATGGGCTCCAACCATACAAAGTTCCGACTCTCTATAAAGTTCCATTTTTTTCTTAATGCTGGGGGGTGGAACTTTAGTGAGTGTTGACTGTACCGGTACTGGGGGATCCAATAGTATTTATTTAGCCCCATAGTATAAATTTAACTACAGTCACAGACACAACCGGCCGGCGACTCCAAACTCCAATCCGCGACCCCAAACCCACTTGGCGTGAACAAACGCAGCCAGACCCCGATGGCATGAAGATAGAAAACCATTCCGAGGGTTTTTCGGGATCATAAAAAATCCCTCGGAAGTACTCAGTAGCCCTCAACCCACAAAAGCAACGCAACAATGGTGGATACGACGACAGTGATCACTGAAGCCTGACGAAATGAGGGACGAGTGACGCATCCAATTCAAGGCCAAGTGAGTGCCCAAGGAATATCTATAGATACACGCAGAGACTTCCACATGTGCACTTTTTTATTTTTTATTATATAATTTTATTGTATTTTGCTGGTGCTGATTTCATAAAGCAACTGGTTTGCACAGTGTGGATTGGGTTTCCTTTCTTCGCTAAGTAACTACTAGTAGAAGCGTTTTGCTAGGCAGTGGTACCACCCACAACAAATTATGTCGTCACGGACTGATCCGGCTTGCCGTTCCTCTGCTCTGTGACCACCCATCCACCAATCCCCGCCACCCCTCATTGGTCAGTCCCATTCTCGAAACGGCACGCCCGCTTCTGATTGTTTAGCGACTATATTTCTTCTTTCGAACATTGATGCAATACACGGCTCTTAGCCTTATTCGCGACTCGATCCTAGATAGGGTTTGAGTTCGACTCATGACGTAGTCCTTCGCGAATAGTCATTGGAGACAGGGTTCTCAATGACCGCGCTAGTCATACTAGGTTGATGATGAACACGCGTTTAATATTTAGCCAGCGTGAGATATTCCACGCTACTAGATAAATGCTAGACGAATCTTTCCACGCGTTCCGTTTTTGGATCGTGGAGTGAGTAGGATTGGCTACCGCAACCTACTCATCACACTCTACAGTCTCCCCCCGGGAATTTCAGATCTACGATCCTTGATTGTGGATCTCTCTCGTTGATTAGTTTTCACTAGCTTTCTAATCCTCTCATAACTTTCATTCTCTCAAACTTCAAAACACCGAAAGATCTTTACACTAGCTTTTAGCGTTAGTGCATTTGTTAACAACAACATAGCTTTCAGCTACCCTCAACCTATTCCTCACCATGAGATTCCGCAAAGACGCATAACCAGCTTGGCCAGTCTAAGCTGCGCGAGCCAAACCAATCTTTCCTCTCATAGACCTCGACGATGAATGCGAAATCGACGATTCTCGCTCCTACCACACTACAAACTTCTGCACTGTTCCAGCAATGCTAACAGACGACCAAGTACCACCTCAAGGTCCAAATCATCAATGGATCTGGACTCCAAGTAGACCATCCAAGTGGGCTGGACGTATGGACGAAGGTTTCGTTGGGCTCGCCATTCTATCGCCTACCGATAAACATAACTCCTCAGGAGATGACTTCTAGCTCTGCAAAGAGCAGATACGAATCTAGCTTGGCAGGCCACCGTGAACTACGTTGGAATGCCTTGCGCCAGTTGCAGTCAACGCCGATTCGCTCCACGCGACATACGTGGGGTGAAGACGAAGACTCTTTCCAAGCACGTTTCCAAAATGCCTGGGACGGAGCAGCCAGCCTGCTTTGGACGCTCTGACATTACGTTTGGCAATAAATGCCTGTGTCGAAGCGGTCTGTCCCTACAAGGCTCTTGAAAGCAGAACACGCTTCATGCGCCGCAAGATCGTAAGCCCCGCCTGATATGTCACCCGGTGCTTATGTCAACAACTCTAGTCGGATGAACACCGATGACATTCCTCGTCTACCAACTTTTGGACCCAACCCAAACGTTGAACCATGACAAAATCATTGACATTGTTTGTTCATGGAATTCCACGCTCGTGGATGAAGAAGATGGCCGAACACGAATTCGACCTTCGAATCCTTTCTCACGCTCTCATAAATCTGTGAGTGTGAGACACCATTGGGTTCTGCGAACGCATGTAATCCTCCTAAGACTTTGACAAGGGTGTTGATGCCAAGCAAGCTCCTTTCGGAAGCTAAGAACACCAACAGCAAGAAGTACAAAACTACTCGCAACAACGACCACTCTTCCAAGAACGAAGAAAAATGGTGCGACTACCACGAGGTCAGCACTCACAACACTGCTGACTGCATTACCCTGAAGAAGCTCAAGGCCAAGTTCCCTCAGTTCCTCGTCTAGACACAACTAGATTAACAAGCCAGCGTACAACAAGAACAAGACTTGGAAACGCGATAGAGAGTCCCACGACGCCAAGACCTACACCAAGAAGGAACTACCTGTCCTCATGAAGAAAGACTCCAACGCTGCGGTCAGCTCCATGGATCGCAAGTAAGCAAGACGAATGCCAACCATTTGGGTGCCAGCGCCAAGTCAGACAACTTCCGACAACCGAGGACGATCCTTGTTGATCCATCAACATCTCCTTTCTCTG